TCTGTGCCCTTAAAGAAAGGCAGAATTAACCTAAATATTCTAGTCTGTGCCCTTAAAGAAAGGCAGAATTAACCTAAATATTCTAGTCTGTGCCCTTAAAGAAAGGTAGAGTTAACCTAAATATTCTAGTCTGTGTCCTTAAAGAAAGACAGTGTTAACCTAAATATTCTAGTCTGTGCCCTTAAAGAAAGGCAGAGTTAACCAAAATATTCTAGTCTGTTCCCTTAAAGAAAGGCATAATTAACCTAAATATTCTAGTCTGTGCCCTTAAAGAAAGGCAGAATTAACCTAAATATTATAGTCTGTACCCTTAAAGAAAGACAGTGTTAACCTAAATATTCTAGTCTGCACCCTTAAAGAAAGGCAGAGTTAACCAAAATATTCTAATCTGTGCCCTTAAAGATATTATCTGTCTGTGGTTGTCTAAGATCAAGGTTAATGCACATTCTATTTTTAATGCGCACTGCACAACGTTGTATGACTATAAAGCTCATCTTCTTGGTCAAATGTTTCTACATTCTCCACTTTATTTGACAACCATAATTTCCAACAAAGATAACCAGCTTGCATTTATAATGAAAAGATAAAAAATAACAATTATAAAGTTCTGATTTCTCAACTTTTTATGACAACACTTCCGTTATAGCCGACCGCGCAATATCAGCTATTCCATCGTGGTTTCTCCCATATTCTCTCAATATAAATATATTTCACAGACACAATTATCTCAACTTATTGCTCAGTATCTAGTCCTTAACATGGTGTACCACTTATATATATGAGGGACCTTAATTAGTATTTTTGGGTATGGTGGACATTCAGGAAGGGTGGACTTTCACTCACGTGCGCACACACCTGCATACAGAGGCACATACACACAAACAACAACAGGAACCAAAACATTGATAACAGTCTGCGACACTCCTTCTACCTTTTTGTGCATTTTTCATTATGATATCTATGAACGATGCCTAAAAATACAAAACATAATTTTCTCCCTCATATATTTCTACATAGTCCGGTTGC